GAAGAATCACTCCGAGGTACACGCAGCATTTCTAAAGCAAAACGAGGAAAGGAAGCAACGTGGACAGGCTGCATCGAAAAAAAAAACTGTCCAGCTATTGCTTAGCGAGTCAGCTTGGAACAAACAAAAATATAGTAAGGACCACCCTCAAGCAAAAGCTATAAATCAGAAAATCATGGAGTGCATCGCGCTAGATAACCAGCCATTTTCGATCGTGCAAGATGCCGGATTCACCAAACTTGTGGAGTTCCTCGAACCACGCTTTGCCATGCCCAGTCGCAAGTATTTATCTGATGTTTGCCTGCCTGAGTTATACAATGTCGTTTACAGACATGTCGAGAAGCTAATTTCTGAGGCTGTGTTCATTAGCTTCACCACCGATATCTGGTCTTCAGATGTTAGCCAGGTTAGCATGCTAAGCTTAACTGCTCAATGGCTAGGTAAAGACTTTGTGCTAAAAAGGGCTGTGCTTCATTCTCAAGAATGCCGTGGTTCTCATACGGCAGAAGCAATCACATCTGCTTTTGAAAGGATGTTTTTGACATGGAAAATCCCCAAGGAGAAAGCGCACGTCATTGTAAGGGACAACGCGCGCAACATGGCTAAAGCTACGTCGGAGTTTGGTGTGTCAAGTTTGCCTTGTATCGCGCACACCTTGCAGCTGGTAGTGAATGGAGGAGCCCTGTCTCAACGTAGTATAGTAGATGCTTTGGCTGTCGGGAGGCGAGTGGTGGGCCACTTCAAGCACTCGCCATTTGCTTACAGTCGTTTTGAAGATATTCAAAAGGATCTTAACATGCCTGTTAAAAAGCTGCAACAGGATGTACCCACCAGGTGGAATTCCACCTACTACATGATGCAAAGCCTGGTGGCGCAGAAGAGGGCATTAAGCCATAACTCACTGGGGAACCATGGAGAAACTGACCAGCCTACTTGAACCTTTTGAGCAGCTGACCAAAGACATCAGCTCTGCAGAGGCCACTGCTGCAGATGTTATCCCTGCTGTGGTGTCTRTGACACYCCTGCTTGCCAAGACTGATGAATCAGACAAAGGAGTGCAAACAGCCAGAAGTACTCTACTGACAGCTGTCAGTAATCGATTTAATGGTGTGCAAAGTGAACCACTGTATGTCATTGCAACCATGGTTGATGCTCGTTACAAAGATCGTTATTTTAWCARTGAGAAGAAGGGGGAAGCACGGGATATGTTGCTGAATGTTGTGGATGAAATGGCTGCTGGTGATAATGATCAGCAGGATGAGGCTGCAGGTGCCAGCACAGATGACCCAAACCAGGAGGACRAGGAACCCCCACCTAAGAAGGCCCGAAATGAAAGTCTGCAGGACATGTACCAAGAAATCCTTGTGGAGAATGACGTTACAGAACGAGCAACTACGGGTGAAACAGCTTCACAGGTGAGTAAATAAAAAAACTTTTAACAGACTTAATTTCATTCACTGAGTGTTTCATATTAAAATGTACACAAAATGAATAAAATAAACAGTGGAATATAATTCTACTTTTTTATTTTATTTTATTTTTTTAGGTATATGCATACCTGGGAGAAACCACCATCCTGAAAACAGCATGCCCTTTGAAGTACTGGAAGTCCAACCAGGCCCGTTTCCCTGTTCTTGCTCGTGTTGCACTCAAGTACTTCACTGCACCCTGCACCAGTGTGGACAGCGAGCGGCTATTCAGTGCCGTCTCCCATGTCATCAATGAGCAGAGGAATCGCATACATTGTGACAATGCCGA